GCGACGACCTCCATAGGGCGCAAGCCTGTCAGTCTCGCCTAAGCTCGCGGAGCTAGGCGACGACCTCCATAGGGCGTCAGCCTGTCTGTCTCGCCTAAGCTCGCGGAGCTAGGCGACGACCTCCATAGGGCGCCAGCCTGTCTGTCTCGCCTCAGCTCGCGGAACTAGGCGACGACCTCCATAAAGCGCCAGCCTGTCCGTCTCGCCTCAGCTCGCGGAGCTAGGCGACGACTTCCATAGGGCGCAAGCCTGTCAGTCTCGCCTAAGCTCGCGGAGCTAGGCGAAGACCTCCATAGGTCGCCAGTCTGTCCGTCTCGCCTCAGCTCGCGGAGCTAGGCGACGACCTCCATAGGGCGCCAGCCTGTCCGCCTCGCCTCAGCTCGCGGAGCTAGGCGACGACCTCCATAGGGAGCAAGCCTGTCAGTCTCGCCTAAGCTCGCGGAGCTAGGCGACGACCTCCATAGGGCGCCAGCCTGTCCATCTCGCCTCAGCTCGCGGAGCTAGGCGACGACCTCCATAGGGCGCAAGCCTGTCCGTCTCGCCTCAGCTCGCGGAGCTAGGCGACGACCTCCATAGGGCGCAAGCCTGTCAGTCTCGCCTAAGCTCGTGGAGCTAGGCGACGACCTCTTTAGGGCAGAAGCCTGACGAGTCTCGCTTAAGCTCGCGGAGCTAGGCGACGACCTCTTTGATTGATGAGGTCATCTCGTAAAATTGAAAATGTGAGTCTTGAAAGACTTAGCAAAAATTGTGCTAGGTGCAAAAGCCCGTGGTCACAATGCTAAGTGCTTCTAGGACTTGGTGAATGAAGAAGTGTGATTACTTGTATAGCGATAAGTACAAACAATTGAAACAAGCAAGCAACACAATAAAAGCAAAGTATCGAACGAGTTTATGGTTACATGCCCAAATAAAAAAGTTCGTGCAAGAATAAATGGTTCGGGGCTACGTGACAACATAACAAAGGAGATAATCTAGTGAGGGGTTCCATGCAACCGGGTCGAT